AGTACTCCGTAATATTTAAGAAAAAAACCACTTTATTAATAAACAATGAGGTATTTCAAAAACAAAACAAACATTTTAGTTTCAAATAAGAATAGTATTGAATGAAAAGAGGACCAAATAGATTAAACTATAATGAGATGGGATGAGCATTATTTAATGAAAAAATGATACTTTCTATGTCCCACTTAAAAGTTCTCGCGCGGTTTACGATATGATGTTTGACTGACCATAAAGTTAACGGAACTCTATCATTAATAAGATTATTTTTAGTAACTAAAATTTACATATCAAAAGTACATTAAAAGTTTTATAATACCTGACAAATAAAAATTAAATTTGATAAAAGTGGAATATATAAAGTAAAAGATTAAGAACAACGGAGAATAGTGGACGAGAACCTTTAAATGGGACGGAGGGAGTATATACATACATACATACATACATACATACATACATACATACATACATACATACGTACGTACGTACGTACACGTACGTACGTACGTACATACATACATACATACATACATACATACATACATACATACATACATACATACATACATACATACATACATACATACATATATATATTACTAACGGAGTTTCTCCAGACAAAAATATGACTAATTATGTTTTTAGATGAAAATATGACTAGTCACCGTGTATGAGTAACTGGACAAGAGTCGCTATAGTGTATTTTAGAATGACATGTCACTGATAGATGATGTGTTACTGAAAACTAGTCACTGAATATATCACTTTTTTGGAAAATTTTAAAACAAGTCATATTTTTGTCTTTTGAGTTTAATTGAGTACGGAGTAGGCATGGACTCGTGCCGGGTGGCCCGACCCGGAACCGGACCGGCCCGGCACTGTTTGGGCCCAGCCCGAACCGGTGGCCCGGCCAGAGACCGGTCCGGGTAGGCCCGGCCCGGGGGGTTTACAGTGCAGGCTCGGGTCACCCAAAAGACGAACCGGCCCGGCCAGTCCGGGCCCGGTTCCGGGTTTTTTAATTTTTTTTTTTGTTTTTTCAATTTTTTCTTTTATTCTGGGTTGGGGCTGGCCGACTGGGTGTTTTGGGATGTTTAGGGGGTAGGGGGTGAGGGGGGGGGGGTCGGGGGTTAAGTAGTTAAAGCAAATAAATAAATAAATAAACAAACAAGCTCGAGGCCCGGCCCATACCTGGTGGGGACCCGGGCCGGTTCCGGGCCTTCCCCCAAACCTCAAAATGCCGACCGGGCCTAGGCCCGACCCGGGTCCATGCATAGTACGGAGTACTCCCTCCGTCCCTCAATACTTTGTCATGTTTGACTGACACGGAGATTGATAAAGTAAAAGCTGTGTGGTTGAGGTTTGTGCAGAGGAGAAAGAATTAACTTGAACCACAAATTCTTTACTTAAAAGGGAAAGTGACAAAGTTAGTGAGACATCCAAAAAAGAAAAGTTGGCAAAGTTATAACGGAGGGAGTAATATTCATGAAAAATGGCCTTCTTAATTGAGAAAATGTAGAAAGTTATATAAATATCTGGATGTAGGATTACATCCAAATGCATCGTATAATTTATCGTATTTCACTACGTATTGCACACCAAAAATATCAAATCACATTCATTTCTTAAAATAATAATAACCTAAACACAAATCATAAGTATAAAATGATAGGAGTATTAAAGAGTAACAACTTTTGTAACACATATATAAGTATAGAATGATTACCTAAAAATAATACATATAAGATCAATTTATCATTAATGATTTCATTATAATATATATACTCCCTCCGTCCCGAAATGAAGTTCCCGGTTTGATCTACACACATATTTATGCGAGGTGTAATTTTGTCTTGAATTTTCAAATATACCCATACTTTATGTTAAATCAAGCAAAAAGTGGGTAAAAACTAATGATGGTTGTGACTTTTGAGTTAAAAATACTCTCCTTTTCTCGAAATGTGGACTTCTTTTTGCAATATCCATAAAAGGAAAGTGAAAACTTGTTTTGAGGGGACGGAGGTAGTACTCATCAAAACTAAGCATGTTATATCGAGACCCATATGTTTCATCCCAAGTGAAACTAAATCGTGTTTGACCATCATGTTGTTATGTTGAATTTTCCTCTCCACTATGTAGATAACAAGCTGGATCTATGTTCATTTTTTAGATATTCATTCAACCAGTCAGCTCAAACTCTGTACCTCTCAATCTAAGTTTTAATGACTTGATGTTCTTCTAAATCATGTCTTGTTTAACTTCAATACCATTGAATAAAAACCATCGCTCTCTTATCCCCCACTCTTTGACATGAATGAAAACAAGTTGGAATGGAGTAGTTGTGATGAACTTTTTCCTAAGCCAACGTCAATCTCGCCGAGTCGCCGCCTCTTCTTAATAGGTCCTGAGCCAACTCCAACATGTCTCATTAAAATCTAAATGATGAAAACACATTTGGGAGAAAACAACCGGAAAGGAAAATTGAAGGTGTACAAATCATGTGTCATAACCCGAGGAAGATTTGATTAAACAATTCTTCATTCATCATGCTCAATTCTTCCTTGAGGTGCAACAATTTCCAATTTGGGTTGTCAACAATCAACACCATTGTTTAAAAAAAAACAATCAACACGAGTCAATCTTTTAGTCCATGAGCAGTCGCTATTATGCTGTGTTCTTACTCTTTGTCACATGCTTCGTAGGTAACATAACCCCACATCTCCTCCTCTTTATATATGGAGTATATCACTTTCACGATAGCTCGGTTGGTTGATTATTGAGAAAGTTGGAATATTGACGAATGATCAAAATTCACATCGGCCCTGTAGAGGTTACAACTCATGTGTGTTTGGTCGGACCTCTGGTGCACATGGGTAAAAGGTCTACCACCATTAGACTAACTGAGTCATCTTGACTAACAATCTCCCAAATGTCTTGTCGGATCGAGGCGTGTGAGGATCTTGGGGTTGGAGATTCAACCTTTTGGAACATATATATTTAATTTATTATATTTAATTACATAGTACTCCCTCAGTCCCTTGAAAGTTTGTTAACTTTCCGTTTTGGATATGATGTCTCTCTAACTTTGTCACTTTCTATTCTAAGTAAAGAATTTGTGGTTCGAGAAAATTCTCTCTCCTTTGCATAAACCTCAACCACACAGTTTTTATTTTATCAATTCTCGTGTCGATCAAATTTGGCAAAATTTTAAAGAACCAAGAGATTATGAAATGAAGGGCGTGTAAATGTTGATACATTATGTGTCGCTACGCGTATAGAAGTGATTGATGTAACACAAATTTGACATATGGAGTATTATGTTTTCTGTACGTAGCTTGTGTGTAAGGGATCTACTTTTCCGGAAAGTGTTTGATTAAATAAAGCGAAAATCATATTTGTACACTTTGGATTATATCCTATTTATTTAGCTTTCACACATACAAAAAGTTTAAATATAGACACTTTTCGACAAAATTTATCCATGTGAACAAAATTTGTCTCTAAATATATCTCTGCATAAACAAAAAATATATGTGACACACTTTTAGACAAAATTTGTTCGTGTGGATACAGACATTTGGTGTATGTATGCATACATTGATTTCTATGCAACCCAATTAATGTGATTTGCATGAAAACCAGTGTATGTATACAGACACTAGCGGTCTATATACACACAAAAAGTGTGTGCACATATGTTTTTTTTCTGTGTAGAGACGTATTTACAAATAAATTTTGTTCGAGTTTGTCGAAAAGTGTTCACATAGACAAACTTTATCGAAAAGTATCAACATTTTTTCTTTTTTATCCTACTTTAAAACTACTAATTCTATTTAAGCTAAAAGTATTATTTTCGTCAATATTTCTATATATGAATCCTCCGCCGGGAAGGAGGGCTTCAAGACTGTGGATCTTTCTAACGATTATAAGTATCCTTTGGTCGGATATAAGTTAATGCAACGGGAACAAACAATATATCTTGGGTCTTGTGATTGCCAATTTGCGATCTTGATCATGTTGAAGAAATATAGGAAGCCATCCATGATCCTTCCTCCTGATTTAAAGAGAAAAACAAACGGACGAGCTGAGGTCACTCAAGGGTTCGAGGATTAGACCGCTTTTACAAAGAGGGAAAAGACATTTTGCCTCTCTATCCTTGAAGCTTCGTCCTAGCTCGGCGCCAACCAACATTATATGTTTTGATAGATCGAGGATAGTATCATGTAAATATTATATAATTAAATACAAGTAGGTGGTTTTGTAAAAAAAAAGGTAAGTTATTTAAGAAATAGTTAATGTTATTTAAAGTTATTTTATGTTTAAATAATTCATTTAAGAAAACAATGTGGGTACAATATCTTGCATGTTATTTGTGATTAAAGCATATCCGAAGTAACACATACCGGTAGTAAAATAACCAAATGACTTTAGGTACTATGGAGTTATATAACTCATACGTAGTACTACCTCTGTCCATTGAAACTTTGCCAAGTTTGACCAACACATGAATTAATAAAGTAAAAACTGTGTGGTAGAAGTTTGTGCACAGGAGAGAGAATTAACTGAAATCACAAATTCTTTACTTAAAAGAGAAAGTGGCAAAGTTAGTGGGACATCCTATCAACTTTTTAAACTAAATACTACTTCTATTATTCGATATTAAAAATAAACTTATTCATAATCGTACGCATGTCTTCTACAATTTTCGAGTCAATTTTCAGGTTTTAAAATAGGGAAAATAACTTTACTTGATACTCTCTATGTCTCATCTTTTCTTTTCGGTCTGTCCCATCAATTAAGATTATCTCATACCAAATTATGTAAAATTTATTTGTTTGTAAATTATTTTTACTTTATTCTTTTGCTATCATTTCAATATCAATCAGATAAACCACCACTTCTCTTAATAACTGCATCACCTCCTCATGCCTAATGTTAGTGACAATTATCACTAGTAGTATCAACCGTGAAGGTAGTATCAATCATCACCAATAATAATACAACAATTAAATAGTTATTTCTTATCACACCAACTCAAATTTATAATAAAAATGATAGAAAGTCATTATCTGTTTCAAATTTGATCATTCAAATAATAATAAATTCAACTCAAACCATCAAATTAATCTGATTTGATGGTCAAATATGATGCTTTCATAGATACATCGTACGGTGTCCAGTAGCATTGGAAGCTTGGTCTGTTATTGGTTGGCAACAGCTCCGTCAACTGGCGAATAGTTTTGAAGAATGGCTGCAACCGGTTATTTCAGTCTAGGGGGGAGTTGCAGAGTGTTGTTTGGTGGTGTCGGGGGCTATGGATGGAGCGGAATCAGAGGGTTTGCCAGAAGGCATCACAACGGCCTGCTCAATTTATGTATAGAGCGAGGGCGTTTGTTACAGCTGGGTTCAAGCTCAAAATCAAAGAGGATGCACAGAGAGCACGATGCAGAGAGGAGTTTTACACTGGAGGCGTCCGACCCGTGGATGGACGAAGTTTAATATTGATGCTTCTACAGGAGGCAGGTGCTACGGGCTGGGCTGCGCTGGGTTCTCAGGGACGACTCAGGAGAATTTCTGGTCGGAGGAGCAAAGCTTTGGGAGAGTCGGGGTTCTTCCTTAGAGGCCATACTGTGGGTATACGTGAAGCGCTGAATTGGTTAAAAGAAAATAATTGGGACTTCGTGGAAATTGAATCAGATGCAACATTAGGCCATTAGCTATCTCAGAAATCCTGAATGGTTCGAGCTAGGGGTGCAAACGAGCCGAGCCGAGCCCGATTTTCTACAGGCTCGAGCTCGAGCTCGAAATATATAGCATCGGCTCGAGCTCGGGCTCGGCTCGAACGAGCCTACAAAATCGCGGCTCGAACTCGACTCGCAGAAGGCTCGGTTCGACTCGGCTCGGCTCGAGGCTCGATAACCATTATGATGCTCCATAATGAGTCCGTAGTAAAAATTCACTGTCATCGGCCCATTCTAAATTTTTCTACTGAGTAGTAACGACCTAAGCCTAAAATATTATAAAATTTTACTAATCAGCATATATTATATACTCCCTCCGTCCCATTTTAAATGTCCCGTTTTACCATATTGGGATGTCCCTATTTAATTGTCTCATACCTTATTTGGTAAAGTTTGTGTGGTTCAAAATTATTTTTACTTTATTCTTACTTTATCAATTAATATCAATCACACAAACCCACTTTTCTTAAAACTCGTGTCATACTCTTCCGAGACATTTAAAAGGGGACGGAGGGAGTATATCATATATATTACTCCGTACATTATAACAGTATACATTATATATTAATTTATATTGCATAGTAATATATTATATATGATTATATAATATATATATATATATATATATATATATATATATATATATATTATAAATATTCACATATAAAATTAGGCTCGCGAGCCAGCGAGCCTGAAATTAGAAGGCTCGAGCTCGGGCTCGACTGCTTAACGAGCCGGCTCGAGCTCGAATTTGACCGATCCCGATTCGAGCTTTGACCGAGCGGCTCGCGAGCGGCTCACGAGCGGCTCGGCTCATTTGCACCCCTAGTTCGAGCTGATCTCCAAAGGGAGTGGTGGCAGAAGACATAAGAGATATCAACTGGGGTTTTTCTATCATTTCTTTTAATTGATAAGGAGTTGTCTTATTTGATTAATGATAATTAAGCCGTACTCTTCAAAACAAAAATAGGCAAAGTTTTTGTTAATGAGTGTCTTCACTCACCGATACTCTCGACATAATTTTATTTAATGTTAACATAAGTCTAGTTTGCATTTTTTTTTTGGAAGAATTCAGCTTATATTGATAACAGATAATTCAGAGTATGGATCAAACGACAAAACGAAATCTGACAACCGTTATCCCACGAACCAGATTCGGAATTAATCAACTTCTGAGAAGCAATATAATTCGTTGATCCATAAGTGGGAAACCTAAAGCCAAAAACGGTTATCGTATTCCTCTCATCCCCCACATAAAAAATCAACGTCTTACAAACAGGAATATCAAAAACAAAAGAAAGCAGACAACAAAATAAATAATCACTAAAGGAGAAAATAAAACAGATAAAGTAGATCCTCTGTTCGAGCCAGCCAAACCACACGATCACCCTAGACTTGCTTAAACTCCATGGTGGCGGTTCAGGAGGGGGACGTGCCCGCCGCTCAACCACCTCCATAGTCAAACTTTTGTGTTGATCCGTCGGGCATTGAATTGTAGCCAGATTACCAAGTCGTCTGCAATTCCATGTACCTGCACTCATCTTCCTCCTTCCAAGAAGGAGGGTTGAGGCCTAACAAGGGACCTTCAAGCGGACTCGTTGATGGAGCACCAGATCCCTTGTTGTTGCATAACCGAGGCGAACCAATGGACTCGCTGAATCCCTTGCTGCTGCATCCCGAACCGACATCGTTGAATTCCGATCTCACAAAAAGTCCAAACAATCCGAAAGCAAAATCCAAACAATCCCAAAGCAAAATCCAAACTTCGAACCCCCGGTGCCGCGGTCAAAACCGCCACCGAACAAGCCCTAGGCCAACCTAGCCGGCGGCTCTAGAGAGAGAAAGAGAAAAACCCTAGAGAGCATAACAATAGGAATGAAGTCTTGTTTGCATTTAGATTGTAACAATTGTACAAGTCGATGTACAATAAATATTTTGATAATTTAGTACATAAATCCCACAATAATAATGAAATACTTCGTATGTTGCTATCGAAATAACCGAGGAGGTTATTAAGGTTTTCTCAGTGAGCAAATATCTTGAACAAGACATTCAAAATTGGAATAAGACGATCCACCTTCTGTGACAGCTTCTTTTGCACACTTGGCCATATTTTCAGCACTCTCCAAGAACTCACTCTTTCTTATAATCATCAATTCTCGGATTACATTCTCCATAATGCCTCTATCACACACATCTTTCATGTCCAGTCCTAGCTTCCACACCGTTCCAACAAGCCGGCTATTGGTCTGCTGATCAACCATGAACGGCCAGCAAATCATAGGCACCCCCGCGACAATACTCTCAAGTGTTGAGTTCCATCCAGAATGGGTTAAAAATCCCCCAATGGCAGGATGGTCCAAGACCAACTCTTGAGGTGCCCAACTTACCATGTACCCGTTTGCTTTCGTGCCCGCTTCTAGCTCGGGAGGAATTGGGGTTTCCCCATATTTTTCGGCAATCGAATCGGGCCTCACCACCCATAAGAACTTTTGGCCACTATTGACTAGACCATACCAAAACTCCATCAATTGTTGCTTTGTAATCACAGCGATGCTTCCGAAGCTCACGTAGATCACGGATTTGGGTTCTTGTGAGTCGAGCCAAGCCATACAGGTTTGATCTTCTTGCCAAAGACTATTGGAGGAGGCGGGTTTGGATAGTAGTTTAGCCTTGAGATGGGCATGGATTGGTCCAATTGAGTACACCGTTGGACACTTTGTTCTGATTTGGGAGAGTATTGGTCCCTCGAGTTGTTCGAAAGTGTTTAGTATGACTGCTCGAGCTTGAACTGCACTCCTGGTTTCAGTAGATATAAAACTAAGAATGCTATCTTGCTGGAAAAATCGTGGAAGGTCTCTTGCTCTCAGAAAATCTTCCATGCCCTTCACCTTTGTGATAGAAGAGTCCATTTCGGTTTCTGCATTGCATTATATTATTGATTGATATATTAACAATAATTCATGATTGACGGTGTCAATGTCAAACTGAAAGCCCCAATTTACAATAAGATCTCCAATCCAACAATATGCATGCATAATGGCCATGAAATTAAAGTGATACACATATAATTATATAAAGTAAATGAATGTAATATAATTTCTCTTTCCTTTCACAATATTATATGTTTATAGTTACTTTTAATAAACCATGTCTATCTAAACATTGCATCTCACATTTATGTCTCTTACACCTAATACATGACAGACTCACATTTATGTATTTTTTTTGACAATACATAAATGTGAGTCGTTTAGGGTGTAAGGGACATAAATGTGAGATGCAATGTTTAGAGATGCTCTAATTAAGGTCCTTAAATTTACCACATACGTTTCATATAGCAAGCCCAAAACAATTTAACATATTTGATTAAGCATAAAGTTAAATATCTATATTAACATCTAATTTATTGTCACTAATTGCAATTTGTACATTTAGATGATACATTAAAAGTTACACTAAATCGCAAAATGTGAATTTGAATCTGGCAACAACTTACTTTTTAAAACACCGCGCTTTTATATATATTTTGACGCGGTGTTTTACAATAATTTATTTAAATGACTTTCTGATTAAATTTTATAGTGAAATTTGGTGGGCATAATATACACTTCATGAAGAACATGCTCCAAAAAATCTACTAAATTTCAACTCGGGAGAACCTCAAATAGGGGTGACCTAACGGCGATTTCGATCAAGAAGACTTGACAGGAACCATACTTAACACGAAAACCGTGAGTTTTAACTCAATGTGCTTTTAACTCAATGTGATGCACTATAACATTAATACCTTACACTTTTTCGTGTTGACGAAATGTTTACAAATCTGCCACCACATTTATTTGATGTTGTCATGTTTTGAACAAAGTCTAAAAAGTGTAATATATGAGTCGCATAGTGCATCAAATTAGGTTAAAAGTGTTCATTCTCACGTATAGCATTGTTCTCATTAGAAGTGCATTCTATATATTATAAAACTGGCCAAATTGATGCATATATATATATACTAGGGAAAATGGAAACTAATAATCCAACCTTTTAGCGGTCTTCTTTCAATAACCCCACCTTTTGATTATTCATGAATAATCCAACCTTTGCACCTCATCTTCATTCACTGGTCCCTGACTGGTTGATGACCTGCTATTCCAAGCTATTTTCTTATCTTTGCAAATCATTATACCATAAATCTCATCTTTCACAAAGATAATATTTTGGAAAGATAAGAAAATAACTTGGAATAGTAGGTCATTAACCGACCAGGGACCAATGAATGAAGATGAGGTGCAAAGGTTGGATTATTCATGAATAATCAAAAGGTGGGATTATTGAAAGAATACTGCTAAAAGGTTGGATTATTAGTTTCCATTTTCCCTATATACTATGAATGAACTAAAGAATGAAGTGGACGAGGTCGTAGTCCACGTGTTTGTTGAAATTTGTGCCTCGCAGGTACAAGGTTTGAACCATGAGACAACTACTCCTTATTTTTGACTACCTATATCCCTCAATTAAAGCCTCAGTTTGAGTTTGGAGTCAAAACTTGTTAAATTTGATCGTCAATTACTCAAGATTGACAATATTCTATCACAAAAAAAATATGTGTTTCATCGTAATATGCATTATTCAAATGTCGGTTTAATATAGATTATATAGGTATATATTTATAGATGGTTAGGGTCAAATGTCCGTCTTTGAAACTATAAAGTCAAACTAGTACTTTAATTGTGGGATGGAGGGAGTATTATTTTATTGTCTCAAAACTACATCATTTTTGGGATACTTTTTTTTCTCACATAAAACTGCAGATCAGCATATGTGTGGCTCATCCGACTCACCCAACAGGCTTCACAATCATTCCATAGCTCAAGCGACTAGCCTCGAGACCGTCCAACGGCGTTTCCGTCAGGACATGATCTACGTATGAGCTCTGGTGCGTTGAAGCCCATGATAACTTAAAAAAAAATCAATATTTTTAGTGTAATATTTTCAATTTTTCATACTTAGCCCACCCTGCTAATCTTTAAACCTAGTACAATCACTCTTCAGCTCATGGTATCCAGGATTCGTGGTTCTGCCCCTACTTCCCACAATGTTTCGGCGGCTGCACTTCGCTGTTGCGCCTGCACCGCCTGCATGGCTGGTGAGCATCTCCACTTCTCCACGCTTCTTTGACTTCGAAATCATCCGCTAGATCTTACTTTGACCATTCCCGACATCTGGCAATTTAAGTTTTAAATAATTAAATTTTTGTGATTAGTTATTAAAATTTGTTTTAATATTAAGATTAAATTATTAAATTTATGATATTTATGAATGTTTCTTTCAATATTTTACATTTTAGGATGAAAATATATTTCAATAGGGAACCAAGATTTAAAGAATAGTTTGATGTAAATTCAAATGATTTCCCATTATTTAATGATGATTAGCTTCATTAATATTTTGCGTGTCATTTTAAAATACATTATGGTGACTCCTATTCAGTTACTCATACATAGTGACCGGTCATATTTTTGTCCAATTACTTAACTAGTTATTTCTGGGTTGTGGGTGTTCATGTCCACCGTCACCATCTTGTGCCTTCCATATTTATGAAATTCCATCTTTCAACTATTTGGACGAATGTATACTCGTACTACATAAGACGGATCGTGTTTGAATAATCAATAAATTGGATTCGCATTCTACTAACCAAGCTCTTTTTCTTCAAGAATGTTTAAAGCAAACCTTGGAATGGAAACTCGCCGGCGTCAAGGAGATCCGGCCAGGAGAAGTAAATCCAAAAGGAAGCTGCGCTGGCCGTACGGAAATAGTAAACCGGCAAATCGACTCCGGCGCCGACCTCCACCGCCATGCCGAGCGGTAAATCCGAAACAAAACATGTAAACGGCGGCCAGGAATCGTCTTTCTGTCTTACAAGTTCCTTCAGAAACGGCTTCCCGATCGTCTGCAAGGAATCGATTAGCTCCAGAATCCCTTCTCTAGTATCGGGTCTACCTATTAATTAAACATCCATCAATCACCTATTGATTAATTAATTAAGAAACATCAAAAATTAATCGACATAATCAGGACAGAGCTTCAAAATTTATGTTACCTTCATAGATTCCGGCAGGGAAACGCTGAATCCTGAACCGGTGGCTGAACCGGCCGTCGGATTCTATGTCGGTGTGAGCTCGAAGGCGGGCGTCGATATTGGGGGTGGCTAGGAAAGTGACATGGAAATTGGAAAGATCTAGGAGCTGTGCAAATTTGAGCATGGAGTTGACATGGCCTTGAAGAGGGCAGGGATATATGAGAACATGAGCAACAAACTCCATGGGATTTCAGATGTGTTTAGTTGACCACTAAAGTCTCTCTCCACCGATTTGGGAAAGTATAGCCTAAACCTCACATAAGACTGGCCACATATATGCTTCTTCATGAAAGTTGGTAAACTAAGAGCATCTCCTTATTTATTTTCATTTTCATTTTTTTATATCACTTCTAACGCACTTTTCATCCACTTTTGCTCCTCGATTCCCGTGTAATGTCTATTTGTGGACATTGTCATAGACATTGTCTACAATTTACTCCTATCTCTCTCTTCCTTTTCATTTTTCCATACACACCACTTTCTCCATATTAAATTAAAATAATCATCCTATCTCTATCTCTCTCCTATGCCATGTAGGATAGACTTTACTCCAATCCACTACCCCATTGGAGATGCTCTAAGCTTTCACTTCCTCATAAGACTGGCCACATATCCCTTCTTAAATAAATGTAACACTTTGACTTTTACACTATTTACATGTTCTACTTTGAGTACGTTTTATTTATTAATGTAATAATATTTTTTTATGAAAAAATATTTTTAAACTTGTCTGATCGTAAACTTTTATAATCTAATTTTTTAATTTTTTTACTAATACAAAATCATACTTCCTCCGTTCTCTTTTAATTGCAACAGTCAACATTTCACGTTTGCCAATGCACAAGTTTGACCATCAATATCTTTCATTTTTTATTAGTAAAAAAATTAAAAAATTCATAATTTGAAAATTTAGAATGAGAAGAATTTAACAATATTTTTTAAAAATTTATTTTATAATACATTAATAAATAAAATGTAGTCAAAGTAGAATATGTGAATAGTGCAAAAAGTTCAATGTTGCAATTAAAAGAGAACGGAGGTAGTATATATTAATGGTCAAAGTTGTGTCTCGGCAAGTGTGAAATGTTGACCGTTGCATTTATTTAAGAACGGAGGAAGTATAAAAAAGGTATTGCTACACACTTTTCATACACACTCATGTCTGTGTAGGGTTTATTTTTTGTTTGTATACAGACACAACGTATTTGAAAATATGTTATACAGACAAAAAAACCTACACAGACATGAGTGTGTAAGTGTGTGTATGAAAAGTTGTACCTCAAGCTTGATTGGGCCCCATATAGTACCTACTCCCTCAATCCCATTTTATTCGTCAGTTTCGTTATTTGTTCGTAGAATAGTATAATACTACATCCGTCCCATTTTATGTGTCTTACTTTGACTTGGCACGCTTATTAATGTAGTGGTTGGAAAAGTAAAAGTTATGGTTGAGGTTTGAATATAATAAAGTGAAATGATGTAGGCCACATATTTTTTTCCAAAAAAAGAGATGGGACACTTATTTTGGGACAACCAAAAAAGGAAAGTAAGACACGTAAAATGGGACGGGGGAGTACTACATAATCAATAAAGAAAAATTGACAAGAATAATACTCATGACATTTTTATGGACAAAAATAAGATCTAGAATATGGAAAAAATAGAGACTCAATATTATTAATAAGAGGACTAAATTACCCTATTCTCTTTCCCTGCTCGTCCTATTTTTCTTGCTTGGTCTTTGTCTCTTCCGAGTCTGCTACATCCGGGGAAAGCTCATAGCATATTAGCACAGGTGCATAACAAAACCTTCTCCTTATTTCTGCATCGTGGTAGCGGCGGCTGTTCAACCTCTGTCATACGTTGCCACAGGCCCCAACGAGGATGTCCCTCTCTCTTTTCGTCACCTCTATTTCTCCTTTTTCTGTTCATGGGCCACAACCTCATCGCTCCAAACTAGGGTTTCACGTAGACGTGTGGTTTCAGAACCTAGTGGTGCGATTGAATAAGGCGGCGATGCGGCCGATTTAATTGGTATCTATGATTGTATGGTGGGGTGCGACGACTAAGGATGATGGAGAGGGCGGTTATGGCTAGGGAGGAGAGTGGTCCACTACAAGGGGCTGTAGGGGGGAGGGTTGCGGAGGTGGGAGTTACCGTCGAGGCAGCAGCAACTAAAGGACTAGACCACTAAAGAAGGGATGAGGCTGGGGAGGAGTGTATGGGGCTAGGGAGTAGAGGCTGTGAGAGAATAATACGGGTTGCCCTCTAAGGAGCCCGAGCAGATATATTTATAGCAGAGAAGTAATGTTTAAAATACATAAATGACCTTAGTCTATTACATCCCCTCAAACTGTGCGGGAGATACAACGCGCAGGTTGTCTTTAAAAAATGAAAACGTTGACTAGTGAGACTTTTAGTAAAAATATCTGCCAACTGGAGATGAGTAGGAACATATCGAACAAGGAGATCACCATGAGCCACTTGCTCTCTAACAAAATGATAGTCAATCTGAATGTACTTGCTTCGAGCATGTTGAATCGGATTAGCAGTTAGATAGGATGCAGAGATATTGTCACACAGAAGACGAACGGGTACCGTGATGGGAAAGCCAAGCTCAAATAAAACTGACCGAATATGCAACGTGTCCTGAACTGTATACGTAATAGCTCTATATTCTGCTTCAGTGGAAGACTAAGACACAGTCGGTCGCTTCTTTGACTTCCATGAGACCAGATTAGACCCGAGAAATACTGCAAACCCACTAGTGGACCGCGAGCTATCAGGACAGCCTGCCCAATCAGCATCTGAATATGCAACAACACAGGTGGGAGTGGCGGAAGTCTGAAGCCAGAGACCATGATCCAGTGTACCCTGTAAATATCTGAAAATACGCACGACTGCAAGAAGGTGAGAAGTACGAGGAGCATGCATAAACTGAGACACTAAATGTACTGCAAAAGTAATATCAGGCCGTGTCAAAGTTAAATATTGTAATGCACCTACCATGTCGTGATACTCAGTTGAGTCTGTCAGAAGCTCACTATCAGTGAGGGTTAAGGTATTGCGAGAGGCAAGAAGAGTACGAACAGACTTAACAGTATGCAAATGAAATCGAGCAAGTAAATCAGTGACATATTTTTGCTGAGTGAGAAATAAACCCTTAGAGGTTCGAGTGGCCTCAATGCCCGAAAAATAATGGAGATTGCCCAGATCTTTCATAGCAAAATGATGAGAAATAAGAGAAGTAAAATTATTAACAACAGTGTCAGAATTGCCAGTAATAATAATATCATCTACATATAATAATGAATAAATGATAGAATTATTATGGCGATAGATGAATAAAGAATGATCAGACTTACTGCAGGAAAAATTATTCTGAAGAAGAAAGCTACTAAACCGATGAAACCAGGCATGTGGTGCTTGTTTAAGTCCATAAATGGCCTTGCGCAAATGACATATGTGATGAGGAAATTGGGGATGAATAAAACCACGGGGCTGACTCATGTAAACTTCTTCAGTTAGATGGCCGTGTAAGAATGCATTTTTAACATCTAATTGACGAACCACCCAACCAAAAGAAATACGGAGTAGCTAAAGTGAGAACAATACGTACAGTGGTAGGTTTAATGACTGGACTAAAGGTTTCTGAAAAATCTACACCTGACTGTTGATTAAAACCTTGAGCTACTAACCAAGCTTTATGTCGCTCCACTGTGCCATTAGCATGATATTTTGTTTTATAAATCCACTTACACCCGACTATATTCTTAGAATTGTCAAACGCAACAAGATCCCAAGTATGATTAGCAATAAGTGCATTAAACTCCTCAACCATAGCCTCCCGCCATTTTAAATGTTTATTTGCCTCAGAAAAACGTGATGGATTAGTGCCAATAACATCCGTGTGTAAAGAAAAAATATATGTGGGCTTAAAAATTCCATTTTTAGCACGAGTCTGCATGGGATGAATGTTAGCTACCGTAGAGGGCACAGAAGAACTGAGTGGAGGGCTAACGGGGGGGGGCTGGTCTCGACCGAGGTGTCCTCGGCTGTATGGGATGAGGTCGGGGGGCTGGATGGGTTGTCTGGAGAAGGGATTGGTGACGAGCTGGGGGTATGAGAACCCGAGAGTGTAGGAGGGTGAGGTATGGTCGGACTAGGAGGTGTGTATGGGATACTGGAGGTGGGGGGAAATTCTGGGGTGGGAAAAATAGTTGGGGAATTAATTAAGGTGGTAGGTATCTAGCAGAGGCGATGTCTGAGGCGGCGCAAGTGCGAGGAATCGATCGGTGACCGAGCTGGACTTGCGACGGAGGGGCGGCGTGTCATCTCCTCAAGGCAGGTTCTGTAGCTTTGTAATTAGGTGAGTTTTTTTTTACGTTTCTTCCTTTCCGGATTCGTTCCGTGGTTTCTCTCCGGCTGATTCTGGCTGAGATTTTTGCTGTGGATTTGTGTCTTGTTCGGCTATTCGATTAAGTTTCTTTATTGAAGAGGGTGTGTCTGCTTTCGTTTCATCCAATCTATTGCATCAGTGATTTTGTTTGGGGTGTGTCTGCTTTCGTTTGGGGTGATAATGGATATGATCTCGAAGAATGTTAACATGTTATCAATTGCCGAGGAAGAAAACAGGGGACTGGTTATTGCGGCTGACCCGCTCGAACAGGAGGGTGAAACTACAAGGGATTTCAATCTCGTGGTGGTGGCTCGAGTGTTGTCTGACAAGCTTGTTCGTGCTGTTTCTTTCTGTCATACAATGGCTATGGTTTAGAGGCCAGTGAAAGGAGTCTCTATTGATGAAATTGAAGACTCAAAATTCCTGTCACAATTCTATCATGAAGGAGATCTCAATAGAGTTGTGAAGGAAGGACCTTGGTCATTCGAGCAAAATCTGGTGGTCATTAGCCGATTAAAACGTATTGATAAGCCTTTAGAGGTTGAACTGGATCAAGCAGATTTTTGGGTCCAAGTACATGATTTACCGTTACGCTATATGATGGCAAAGGCTGCACGTGGTATAGCCAACAACATCGGCTCGTTTGTACAACTGGATGAGAGCTCTCCTAGCGGAAAAAAGAGGCTGGTAATGCGCATTAGGGTCACTTTGAACATTAAGGTGGCGTTAACTCGACGACTGCAGGTTAGACAGGAGGGTGACGGTTGGATTTGGGCAAATTTTAAATATGAGAGACTCCCACATTTCTGTTTTTTGTGTGGGATTCTTAGTCATGCTGACCGTTTCTGTCCCTCCATTTGTTAAGGTTGCCTGAAAATGAGAAGTCT